CTCTTTTCCTTCTCTCTCTTCCTCCTCCCTCCTGTTTGCTCTGTCCATTTTAAATAAATGTCCCTTCCTGTCTCATTTTAAATAAATTAGAGAAAGAGAGAGAGAGAGTGAAAATCAGGGTAATTTAGAGAACATTACTGTAAGATAAAGGTGCAATGTGGAAGTTAAAAGACATGGGAAAGAAAATGGAAAGATTCCAGCCTATCTCACATAGGAATTCCTTAGAAATTAAGAAACAATACTCCAAAACAAGAGTACCTAAGAATTTTCTAGGACTGACAAAAAGACATCACATTCAGAATAAAACTAAATATGAGAATGGAAATATACCTCTAATTAGAAGAGGAGTAAAAAAGAATATAGAAAACTCAATTAATTAAGAAGGGGTTGTAGGGCCAGCATTGTGGCTTAGTAGGCAAAGCCACAGCCTGCAGTGCCAGCATCCTATATGGGTGCCAGTTTGAGTCCCAGCTGCTCTACTTCCAATTCAGCTCCCTGCTAATACACCTGGGAATGCAGTAGAGGGTGGGCCAAATTCTTGGGCCCCTGAACCCATGTGGGAGACCTGGAAGAGAATCCTGGCTGCTGGCTTCGGATTGGCCCAGCTCCGGCCCATATAGCCATTCGGGGAATGAACCAGCAGATGGAAAACCTCTCTCTCTGCCTCTCCCTTTCTCTTTTGTATTCATGGGATGGAAGACCGCGCGCTCTCTCTCTCTCTCTCTCTCTCTCTGACTTTCAAATAAATCTAAAAAAGAGGAGGGAGGAGGAGGAGGAGGAGGATAGAAACCTTAGAAAAATCAGGTTAAATACCTTAAAATAATGTAGTAGAAAACACATCAATGATTGCAATAAACGTCAATATACCTAACTCAGTAGTTTAGAGATTGTTAGGTTGTGTTTTTAAAAATCCATCTATGTTTTAAGCAAAATATTAAAGAAAGATGAGTACTGGATTCACTCCAGATAAAACATTTACTTTCAGGCAAAAATATTATTATAAAGAAAAATATTAGCCGGCGCCGTGGCTCAATAGGCTAATCCTCCACCTTGCGGCGCCGGCACACCGGGTTCTAGTCCCGGTTGGGGCGCCGGATTCTGTCCCGGTTGCCCCTCTTCCAGGCCAGCTCTCTGCTGTGGCCAGGGAGTGCAGTGGAGGATGGCCCAGGTGCTTGGGCCCTGCACCCCATGGGAGACCAGGAAAAGCACCTGGATCCTGGCTCCTGCCATCGGATCAGCGCGGTGCGCCGGCTGCAGCGGCGGCCATTGGAGGGTGAACCAACGGCAAAAAGGAAGACCTTTCTCTCTGTCTCTCTCTCTCACTGTCCACTCTGCCTGTCAAAAATTAAAAAAAAAAAAAAGAAAAAAGAAAAATATTACATGAGGGTACCTTACAAAGGTTATAAAATGAAATTTTTTTTTTAAGGTTTTTTTTTTTTTTTTTTTTTTGACAGGTAGAGTGGACAGTGAGAGAGAGAGAGAGAGAGACAGAGAGAAAGGTCTTCCTTTGCCGTTGGTTCACCCTCCAGTGGCCGCCGCGGCCGGCGCACTGTGGCCGGCACACCGCGCTGATCTGATGGCAGGAGCCAGGTACTTATCCTGGTCTCCCATGGGGTGCAGGGCCCAAGGACTTGGGCCATCCTCCACTGCACTCCCTGGCCACAGCAGAGAGCTGGCCTGGAAGAGGGGCAACCAGGACAGAATCCGGCGCCCCGACCGGGACTAGAACCCGGTGTGCTGGCGCCGCAAGGCGGAGGATTAGCCTAGTGAGCCGCGGCACCGGCCATAAAATGAAATTTAAAATAAGTTTATGGAAACATTATACATTGCCATGAACTTTTTGGAGATTCATTTGCATGAATTTCAAAACTTTTGCACCAAAATAATCTTATCTTTAAATTCCATTTTCATTGAACTTTTTGAGTTCAATAGAGATACCATATTAGACATATCATTAGAGATAAACTTGATGTATATAACAGAACTATGCAATACAGAGGAAAAAAAACTAGCATAGTTACAAGCAGAAATCAACAAGTCCATAATTGTAGTAGGTGACTGTTGCTTAAACATGGATTAAGCAGACAAAATATGAGAAGATTTGAATAACACAATTAAAACACTTGCAGGCCTCATCCGTCTCCATTATAAACTCCTGTATTATTCAAGCCCTCTTTGGAATGTTCACAAAAGCTCAAAATGTTCTAAGCCCTAAAACAGTTCTTCACAAAATTTAAAAATTGGACACAGAAAAACCACGTTCTCCTGTCAAAGTCCAGTAAGTCTGAAGATAAATAACAAAAATACCCCCTGCCTTCATATTTGAAAATTAAATAGGAGTGGTTTACTTCTCTTATACCATATGTCCAAATAAATATTTCCCAAGCAGATCTATATTTTTAGAATAGCAGTAGATCCTGTGAATTTTATAAAAATGATTGAGTCTCTTATTTGTGTTGGTCAAAGATGTCCGTTGTAGTTTTCATAGCTCTTTGCCCCATCCCATTGTGTATTGTCTGTCCCACCAGAAGAATGTGACACTGGAATCTAGATGAGTAAATGCAATTTGTTTCATGTTTATGTGTTCTTGTTTCTGGACACAGAGAGATAAGCTTCTAGGATAAACATTCCCATTAAACTTAGCTATAAACATTGCTATAAACTATAAATATATGGCTACAGATAGCATTCAATTAAATGTAGCTGAATTAAGAGAATTTGAAATTTAAAATTGTATAGTGTTTAGCCCTGGAACTAGCACTGTGCCTGAGCAAGTTAAACTGCCACTTGCAATGGGGAATGCCTGTTCAAGTCCTGGCAGCTCCACTTCTGATCCAGATTCCTTCTTATTTGCCTGGGGAGGCATAGGATGATGGCCCAAGTGCTTAGGCCCCTGCTACGATGTGGGAGACCTGGAATGAGTTCTGGGCTCCTGCTTTCAACCTGGCCCATTCCCAGCTGTTGTGGCCATCTGGGGAGTGAACTAGGAGGAGTAAGATATCTCTCCCTCTCCCTCTCCCTACTACCCCTCCCTCTTTCCCTCCCTCCATCTCCCTTTATCTTTCTGCCTTTCAAATAAATAATTTAAAAAAATAAAATAAAAAATAAAGTTTCTAGTCCTGTTGACTACTAACTGTGTATAAGATATAGCTCTCAATATGAAGGTGAGGTAGAGTGTTGACCAATACACTGTTCTTGCCCTCAAGGACAAAGTTTATTTTATCTGAGATTTCCAATGTAACACTTATCTCAAGCTGAAGTGTTCTTACGGGACAGCCCATAGGTAATCTTGCAAAAGAAAATCCTAGTGTTGCCTCATATGCTAAAGGACACGAAAGAATTTGGTAGTCTAAACATTTCATGCTAAATAGCTACTTTGGTTGGAAATTAAAGAGATCCTAAGAAAAACAGTATTTTATGGTTTTTTTTTCTCAGTTTGGATTATAGGTTTTGAATAGTTGGACAGAAATGCAGGAGACATGGAGAACATAATTGATATTTCGCAGAGAAATTAGTCACAACTTAAACCATGGTTAATTAGTATTAACTTCTAAATGTTAAGAAGGGGCAAAGGGGCTGCTCTGAACTGTGGAGGGGAAGGTTTTACACGGGACACTCAGCCTCAGACCTGCTCACAGCACTGTGTGTCCCCAGCATACTGGTCTCCTGCTAGTGCAAGGAGTGGAGCAGGAAAACTCACCCAAAGAGACCTCAACAGCAACAGCAGCACTTCCCAAGGAAAGCGGGGAGAAATGCTGCTTTGATGGGTTATCACCGTAAAATAGAGACTGCGCCAAACGGACCACGACCACGCGCTGTCTTCTGCACTCATACACAGCTTCACCCTGAGAAATGCTAGCTGGCAGTCCCAGTCCATCATTTTGTGTTCTAAGCAATATATCTGATTTTTTACTTGAAAGTTTTTTTTTAACTTATTTTTATTTACTTGAAAGGCAGAGTTACAGAGAGAGAGGGAGAGACAGAGAGATCTTCCATCCTTAGTTCACTCCCCATTGGCCACAATGGCCAGAGCTGTACCAATATGAAGCCAGGAACCAGGAGCTTCTTCCAAGTCTCCCACACAGGTACAGGGGCCCAAGGACTTGGGCCACCTTCTACTGCTTTCACAGGCCATAGCAGAGAGCTGGATCGGAAGTGGAGCAGCCATATGGGATGTCGGCACTGCAGGTGTTGGCTTTACCTGCTATACCACAGCACCGGCCCCTTTTGCCTGGTTTCTTGAATCTTGGTGATGTGTCTGACAGTCATTTTCACAGCAGGTTTTCTTGAACAGTTTCTGAGGAGGTGCTTTTGGATCCTAAAAATCCAGTTAATTTTGATTTCTCCTGTAAATTTTAACTATTTTCAAAAGTAACAGAAATCTCATATCTGTACTCAGAATACAGAACTTTAGGGACTGGCACTGTGGTATAGTGGATAAAGCTGCTACCAGAGACACCAGCATCCCATATGGGTGCAGGTTCAAGTCCCAGCTACTCCATTTCTGATCCAGCTTCCTCCTAATGGCCTGGGAGAAGCAGCAGAAGATGGCTCAAGTCTTTGGACCCCTGCAGTCACGTGGGAGACCCAGAGAAAACTCCTGGCTTGTGGCTTTGTACTGGCCCAGCTCTGGTCGTTGTGGCCATTGGGAAGTGAACTAAGATATGGAAGAACTCTCCCCCCCCCCCCTCTGTAACTCTGACTTTCAAATAAATAAATGAATCTTTTTAAAAATTCAATAAATAACCTATCTCAAATGTGGATTTATCTGCTGCTTTTGGAAAGGACAAATGTGTACTTATTTAATAAGCATTATTATGTAATAGACCTTATGCTGTAGGCTAAGGAAACATATCTTACAGCCTAACCCTGGGCTAAATCCAGATCTATCAGGTTTTCTCACATAATCATACATTTACAGAATAAAGACTGAAAACCACAGCCTTGTAAAGTGCCCTGTCTATTCCAGCTGGCTGACAACCACTCTTTTACTTTCACAGAGGTCCTGCTGGAGTACGCGCCCAGGCCCTGGACAGAGACGGAAATCTGGTAGAAGATTTTGTATTTGATGGAGGAGTTGGGGATATTGGAAGTCGCATTCTTCATGTGAGAAATGCACCTTCCCCTGCTGCCACTTCTTCGCTTGCAATTTCTGAAATGATTGCAGATGAAGTGCAGCAAAGATTTGAATTATAAATCATGAAAGGAGCTAGGTATGCATTGTAATTGCACATCTGCAACAGTTGTGTACTGGTTGCATCCTTCCATTTTAATTTAAGAAAATGTTTTTAAGATAGCATTTTTAAGGCAGAGATAACTGCTGGATTGTTAAAATGATGTAACATATGAACATTTTTTTTAACTAAGATCCATGTTCTTTTACTTTGTGAATAAAGAGGCGTGATACAGCTGTATCTGTTCCGAATCCCTGGCTTTGCTAATACCCTGTCCTTAGCAACCATGAGTCAGAGAATATTTGGCTCTTGTAGAATTTGGGAGAATGATGTTATGAAAATCTGATTTTTTTTCCCTTAAGTCAGTTTTTTAGTGTTGTAATACGTGAGCTTTTTAGTCTGTCCTAGATAAGAAAATATGATATAGCATAAGTTGTAAACATTCTCTTAATCTTGAAGAGTCATAGAAGAGCTCACATTATTTAGAGCAACATTATTTGTATTTGAAATTAAAAACTCTTGATTTGGGGGTGGGCTTCTGGCCTCACAGTGAAGACGCCGGTCGAGGTGCCCATGTCCCGTGATGGAGTGCCTGGGTTCGATTCCCGACTCCGGCTTCCAGTTCCAGCTTCCTGCTGATATAGACCCTGGAGGCCGCCACCAATGGCTCCCATAATGAGGTCTCTGCCACCCACGTGGGCAACCTCCATTGTGTTCCTTGCTTCTGACTTTGGCCTGACCACACCACAGCTTTGGAAGGAATTAGATTCTACCTTAGCTCTCATTTGTGAGAAATAACTTGGCAGAACGACTCAAAACCTTTGTGACACCTGGGCCCCTTATAGCTGATGTGGTGAGGGGTCTCCCTAGGGTCTCGCAGTGGTCCGCCCTGCCAGACTGTTGCCTGCTCTTCAGTCTTCTGTGACTAAGAAACTAGAAGGACGTAGAACAGGTAGGATTTTACAAGAGCAGTTTAAGAATCTTAACCCTGATGTATAGAACTGGAATTAAAATAATTTTTTTTCCTCTCTTATATATCCGTTCTTCGGCCACACGAGGGTTCTCAAGACGTTGGCCAGAATCGCTAATGAGTCACGCGTATGTGGTTTTTCAGGGCTTCTGTGAATTTTATGAGGTTACTTCTCCGCTTTGGGTTCACACCTTCACTTTGAGGCATTCACTTTTGTCAGCCGCGAAAGTGCCTTACGTCCACACGCACTTCATGAGTCTCTCGAGTCGGTGCCCAGTGCTGTGTTGTATTCTGTGTGTTTGCGTGTGGCTTCTCTGCTACAATGATGCTTACTGTTTTGGAAAGTTGGGGAATAGAAACGAGAACGGCGACGCGGCGACCTGACTGGGGAAGCCATGGTAACAGAGCCCTGTCCAGGGGGACGTTGCCATCCGTTCTCTCACGTGGGCTCTCTCCTTTCCCTGTCTCGCTCTCTCTTTCTCCAAAGTTCTGTGAGGACTCAGAAGGATGTGCATTTTGGTCGACAGGAAAAGCTTCTGTTTGCTGCCTTTTCACTTCAAGACTTGATGATCACACTGACTGAGCTACCTCATCCATTAATCTGCAAGGACATTCATCAGCTTATGTTCAAGCAGCAGCACATCCCAGGTGCACAGAACAGGCAGTCACTACTCAACACTGGGGATGGACACCCTGAAAACACTCAAGTCACTCACAGAAGAAGCAGACCCTACCGGTTCTTCATAATAAAACTCATTCTTGCAAGAACTACAACACAGAGATTATTTGTTTTGTTCCATTACAAGACAACCAAGAAGTAGAGATTATTGTAATTCTATTTCATCAGCAGTAAAATTGCATACACATCATACTGTGAAAGACTGAAATCACAAAAATAACTATTGTAATTCATGCAATCCTCATTCCCTGTGAGTCTGTGTTATACTCACAAGAAATACAAGTGGAAAATTTCTTGAAAATGTTTTGAATTATGTAGGTTACTATGTTTGTAAAACATTTGATATTTGTATCAATAGGGCTTTGTTGTTTAATACTGATATGATATTTAAAAGTTTTGTGTATTTCTGAGAGGAAATGTATATTAATATTAAAAATATTTTAATGAGCTTGGGTGTTGTGGAGAGCAACTTTTTAAGGTCTATGAAAACTTTTATTCAAATACATTTCCCATGTATAAAACAAACTATCAGAGCTTTAGATAGCAGCCCATCATTTAAAAAAAAAAAGCAAGCTGCTTCTGTATTTGTATATATTATAATAATGAGGTAATTTATATTACGAATTAGAAGAGAAGCATTTTAGATTTTAGCTTCAGAGTAGTTTGGGAGGAACTCTTAGCACAAGCAAGTAAATTCTGGGTGATTGACCTTATGTGACGTAACCCTTTTATCCATACACGTAAGTGTCAATCGAAGTCCACCCCATGACCCTTTCAGAGCATGTCCTGTTTGGGGAGCTGCCTTTACTATTGGCAGAGTTCCATTTAGCCTGAGGCCATTTGAAAATCTCCCCACTGGCCTGTGGGATAACCTGGACTCTTAGAACTTTCTTCAGAGGATAGTGACGAGGGTGGTGCATAGTGCCGGCCCCAACAAGGGAGTTTACAGGGCCTGCTCTGGAGACCAAGCCCGATGGCTGTGCCTGGGAACCATCCCTGTGAGTGTGCAGATGGTGTCTGCAGCGTCTAAGGGCTGGCTCTGCCCTCCTGGGCCCTTGATCTACATCTACACTGCTTTGGTCAGATGTTTCATCTTTCAGAGCATGTATTATCCAGAGATCTTATGAACATTTTTGAGGAGCAATTCTGAAGCCAGTTACTAAATTGTTAATGTACTCGTTGAGAGTTTTTGCAGTCTCTCTATCAGGATTTGCAAGGACAGGGCAAGGTGATTTGAGAAAGAGAAAGCTCCCTAGAGATGCTTTTGAAGAGTTGGTGCCCATTAAAGGGTTTAAGACGAGAAATAAAATCCCAAATCCCTGAAGAGAAGAGCAGTGGTGATAACCAACCAGCTGTGTGTTTTCTGGCCTCAAGGATTGTGTTCTTTTTGTTAGGTGCTAATATTTTCTGCCTCTTGGATAAGATGAGAAATTTTGTCATTTAGATTTGGCGCCGGCTCCGCGGCTCACTAGGCTAATCCTCCGCCTAGCGGCGCCGGCACACCGGGTTCTAGTCCCAGTTGAGGCGCCAGATTCTGTCCCGGTTGCCCCTCTTCCAGGCCAGCTCTCTGCTGTGGCCAGGGAGTGCAGTGGAGGATGGCCCAGGTGCTTGGGCCCTGCACCCCATGGGAGACCAGGAAAAGCACCTGGCTCCTGGCTCCTGCCATCGGATCAGTGCGGTGCGCCGGTTGCAGCGCAAAGGCCGCGGCGGCCATTGGAGGGTGAACCAACGGCAAAGGAAGACCTTTCTCTCTGTCTCTCTCTCTCACTGTCCACTCTGCCTGTCAAAAAAATAAAAAAAAAAAAAAGATTTGGCAACAGACAGGTGTGATGGCACACCTTGGTTTGCCTGGATGTGCAACTTTGAATTTTGGAAAGGACCTCAAGGTCGGCGAGTTCCCTATTGCTAGAGAACTTTAAACTTCAGTCAAGCTCTGTTTAAAACTCTGTAATGAGAATGCCCTTTCTTAACTTCAGTGATCTCAAACAAGATGGAGTGGAATGAAAGAGCTGGAGTGGTGATTGTTTTTTCCATGTTTTTCAGATATCATTTGACTTAAATTTTCCCACTGGCGATGTGAGAGATACATTTTAAGTATATCAATTTATGAACAAGGATGTTTTTGGACTGGGGACAAGTTTCCCAAATCATACTGCACACATTTCAATTTCTGTTTCCCAGAATGCCTAGTTCCTCCTAACTGATTGTTAGATGTTTGATCAGTAATTCTAGCTGAGGCAAGTACAAAGTTCCAATTGCCTGGATCCTTCTAATTACCAGGAACTAAGCATGTTGGTTATGTTAAAGGCTGATAGGAAAAGATTGTCTTCTTTTTTTTTTTAAAGATTTATTTCCTTGAAAGAGTTACACAGAGAGAAAAAGGAGAGGCAGAAAGAGAGAGAGGTCTTCTATCCGCTGGTTCACTCACCAATTGGCTCAATGGCCAGAGCTGCGCCAGTCCAAAGCCAGGAGCCAGGAGCTTCTTCTGGGTCTCCCATGCGGATGCAGGGGTCATGGGCTTGGGCCATCTTCTACTGCTTTCCCAGGCCATAGCAGAGAGCTGGATTGGAAGTGGAGCAGCCAGGACTCAAACTGGGCCCATATGGGATGCTGGCACTGCAGGCAGCAGCCTTTATGCCACAGTACCAGCCCCAAGATTGTCTTCTAATACCCAACTTTGTGCTTTAGAATCTGGGGCTATCAAATTGCTCATTTCAATTACTGTGCCTGTCAGAATTTTGTACTTTAAGTTTATAGACTACTCACCAAAATTTCTTAGTTTTCTGTAATTAAAGAAATAAAAAGTTTAGTATGAAATATTATTATTATGTTAGGGGAGGGCATTTGGTACAGCTGGTAAGATGCTGCTTGGGATGCTTGCATCCCATATCTGAGTGCCTGGGTTGGAGTCCCAGCTACGCTTCTGATTCCAGCTTCCTGCATCTGCACACCCCTGGAGGTGATGGCTCAGATAACTTGGGTCCCTGCCACTCATGTGGGAGACCCAACTGTGGTCCTAGCTCCAGGCCTAACCCAGCCCTGGCTGTTGCAGGCATTTGGGGAATGAACTAGTGGATGGAAGATCTCTATGTCTGCTCTTGTTTTTCTCTGCCTTTCCTATAAGATGAAAATAGATAAATAAAAGTTTAAATACCACATTATGTTAGGGAAGGTGACATGCCATTGAACATTGCAAGGTTCTACCAGCATTTTTAATTGAGAGGATAGAGGTTTCCTATGGAACGAGTATACAACGATGGCAGTTATTGGGCTGGCACTGAGGCTCAGTGGGTTCAGCAGTTGTCTGTGGCTCTACAGTGCTGCATCCCACCATATGGGTGTGGTTTGAGTCCCAGCTGCTCCACTTTTGAAACAGCTCTCTGCTGATGGGCCTGGGAAAGCAGCACTAGATGGCCTGAGTTCTTGGGCCCTTGCCCCCATGTGGGAGACCTGGATGAAGCTTCTGGCTCCTGGCTTCGGCCTGGCCCAGCCCTGACCATTATGGCCATTTGGAGAGTGAACCAGAGAATGAAACATCTCTCTCTCTCTCTCTCTGCTTCTCTCTCTGTAATTCAGTCTTTCAAATAAATAAGTAATCTTAAAAAAACAAACAAACAAACAAAAAAAAAACGATGGCAGTTACTCTACAAATGGCTATGGTAGTGGGGAGTCACGGGGTAAAGGGAACCTGATTCCAAGATACTCAGCTTCCAAGAGAAGCAACGAAAGTTTTCAAGAAGGCCATATCAATGGATCACACCAGAAAAATCACCGTGTTTTCCTAAGTAAGGAATACATGAGCATTTGGTCAAAAGAACCAAATTTCCGAGTAGTAGAGTGACTAGAGCATTGCATTTATAAAACAAAACAATGCCTGCGCCGCGGCTCACTAGGTTAATCCTCCGCCTTGCGGCGCCAGCACACCGGGTTCTAGTCCCAGTCGGGGCGCCGGATTCTGTCCCGGTTGCCCCTCTTCCAGGCCAGCTCTCTGCTGTGGCCAGGGAGTGCAGTGGAGGATGGCCCAGGTACTTGGGCCCTGCACTCCCTGGGAGACCAGGATAGGTACCTGGCTCCTGCCATCGGATCAGCGCGGTGCGTTGGCCGCAGCACGCCGGCTGCAGCGGCCATTGGAGGGTGAACCAACGGCAAAGGAAGACCTTTCTCTCTGTCTCTCTCTCTCACTGTCCACTCTGCCTGTCAAAAAAAAAAAAAAAAAAAAGCCATTTTGTGGGCTACTTGATACAAACTCACATATTCTACCCCTGAGGGAGGAGGTCTGTGTTGGTGGTATATTATTTTGAATTCGGTTGCAAAGAATAGAATCTATTCCAGCTAAACAAGAATACATTTCTTCTTAGGCTTATTAATAATTAGAAGGCTGCTGAAGTAGACTGTATGTTGAACTTTCAGGAACAAGTCCCAGAGGCACCCTACAGATGCAGGCTACCATGAAAGCGCTTCCAAACAATTAGGATGCACACACAGGGAACTGCCATGCAGTGAATCTAGCTGTTGCAGCAAAAATGCCAGAGCTGCAGCTTCCAACTCGCTTCTGCCTCCTAGATCTGACATCAGTACATCTGATGGGTCCAACTTAAATCACATGCAAAATCCTGGCTTCAAGGGAATTTAGGAAGTATTGCTTTTACCTTTCTAATCTCTGACAGTAGGAAGAAGAGAATGGATATTACCTGCTATATACTCTATCCATCACAGTAATTATGCACAAAAGTAAACAATTTAAGCAAATTTCCATAATTATTAACACTTTGAGGTGTGCTAACCAGTAGTTGTTTTATTTCTTGTCTTTACTAAATGCCTGTTTTGTGATCAAGATCCATATGCATATGTGATTATTGACAAACCAACCCCCAGTTGGGAGCTGTACTGAACAGATTATGAGGACTTTAATTGCTGACAGCCCAACTTTATAATTATCAGGACTTGGAAAGATTTTATTTCAATAATATAATTAACAAGCACTTGATGTGCCTCCCCATTGCAGCCAAATCTTAAATTTT